GCATCATCCCAGCAGACTTACCTATGACTGATGTCTGTTGACGTTTTACACTCGGAGCGAGGAGATGGCGCGTACCGAAGCAGAAGAGGCCATTTGTTGAGAGTGGGTTATGTGAACCCACATTTACGTAATGAAAGCAGGTGAACCTGTCAAAATTTGTTCTATAAACACCCAGACAATAACACACTTCATCCTCTTCTTAACACCAGTTATTTAGTACCATTAATAATACAAGTATGAATATACGGTTTACTATATGTTTCGGTCGTTAGCTGCCATCCTCATGCTGCCCTCTTGATTCGCCTTCATTTTCCTCACTCATTGTGTTGTGTGAGTTAGGGACAGGTTTGTTGATTATTCTTAACCAGACTAGCATCTTGCTGCAAGCCAAAATTTGCCTTTAATTTTTTATATATTTATTCTGAGCGTCAAGAAGGTAATTTAAGGACTGTTAACGCTTATCAGTAAAAGTATATCACGTTGAGTTCGAATGGACCTCTTCAGTATTAGTTGCATCGAAATCAGACATGGACCAATAAATAGGCTGTTGTAAACTATTTGTTACGAGTTTGGTAATGTGAACTCTCTGGGACCAGTATCCAGTGGCGGACTGTATAATTGGCATTACCCAGTTACCAGTAAATTGGCCAAAAAGACTTGCATCTTGAAAGCGAAGAGGCATCTAGATCTAGTGATTCTTGACCTAGAGTTAACTTATATTTCGGTTTTTTAACTATGATGTTTGGACAGAATGAGAAGGTGGTCATGAAAAGTGGATAGCATACGTTAGGATTTGGAAAGAGGTTGTCATGACCTTACTTCAAGGCACCATTGCAGCATCTCAAGGTGATTGTGCCGAGATTCTAACTGGTTAGGTTCCGAATAACAAAGCAACACCGACCTCCTTGGTTGAAAAATACGCACTGTACAAACTCGGGCCTACTAAAAGTATAAAACCTATCCCTGTTTAAGATTAAAACTTTTATTAGAAACAATTTTCATTATGGTAAATATTTAAGAAAACAAAAAGACACTACAATGACTGTTTTATGGGGTGTTGCGTCATTTAGTCTCATAGATGACCGACGTTTCAGAGGTGCTTACTGCCTCCATCATCAGTAGATTTCACATGTAACACACAGAATTTATTTCCGTAACTATTTTCGTTTGTAGTCTTCAGGTTTTAAATACACTCTTCTTTATCTGCTCAGTGGCGGCTGAGAAAAGTTTGCCGTTTGCATATCCCTGCCTGCAATACCAGATTTGTTCCCATCAATAAGGAGTATGAAGGTCAGTAGTGTGTGCAAAATCACAACTCTTTCTCTGTAGTAATGTGACCAGCTTTGCAACAGCGCGTCGACGCATCTTGGTTACTGATCAGGTAATAGTGTTTTCGTCGCCCTAGTGGTTAGCGTGCTCGCCACTGGACTCAAGGTTCGCGGGTTCAATCTCGGCCGAGGTCGATGGATTTTTAAGGGTGATAAAAATCCGTAGCACAACTTCCGGCGGTCCCATGTCGTAGATTTGCGGCATGTAAAAGAACCTTGCGAACATGATACGAGATGTTTCGTAAGCAAAATTCAGCGGCCATTTCTCACCCAAGTATCTCCTGATTCACTGCTAGATGGCTCTGACAGTCAAATCAGGAGTGAGTAGAAATTGTGCAGAGTTAGTGGGCTAGTCACTCACTACTCTTAAATGCACGCTTCAAAGACTATGAAACCCCCCGAAAGGAGGCCCTATGCTCCACTGAGGAGTTACAGGAACTACTACTACTACTAACAGTGTTATCATCATTTTCGTTTACAGTCTTCCCACGTTTTAATAGGGACGTGGGTGTTACAGCGCAAGGTCTCGACCTCGCCCTGCCCCCCACGTATATTGGAGTCCCATTTACCAGCAGGCAGCCCACATTAAACTACAAATATTATTAATTCTGTATTTTATTTTATTTATACTTCACATATGTTGGTTTTATTACCAATGTCCATTTGTGTATTTCAAGCTCTGATGTAATTATCGTGTACATGATAATATTAATTAAAATTCTTTCCATTACAAAGTAAAATAACCTTTGTTAGATGAAGTAGGTTACATGAACAAGGTTTTTTTGCAGTTTGAATTATTCATAAACGGACGCGTGAGCGTCTCTGTTGCATTTCGAGGTTAGGTTAGGTTAAATGAGAACGTGTGGGGGTGTGTGCGTGTGAAGTATTATGTATGGGCGCCTGGACGCCCAGAAACGTTGCTACACAGTGGGTTTGAATGCTCTGCTTGCTAGATAATTAATGGCAATATAGAATCTAACAAATCAAATAAGATACAACGCATATTATCGGTAACGGAACCGAGTCATCTAGTCTACAAGCAAAATCAATCAAATTTCACAGATGTAAGGCTGTTTTATAAATACAATACCTAGTAAACTTACATTAGGACTGCTATTTAATTTAAGATTGATTTTACCACAAAGATTTAAATATTCATTCTTGGTTAACTTGTGCCGTTTTGATCTATTTATTTAGTGTTCTGTCTGACGACAGGTCCATATGAACAGGATTCTTGCATCCTTTTCTCGGACTAGGACCTGTTCATATACGTTCTTGGCAGATGATCCAGAAGTGGTTTGCCATTGCCTTCTTCTGTGTGTGAATGGAGTAATTGTTGGGATGCCACGGAGAAACCGGGGAAGACCCCGGAGGACAACTCCGTGTTGCCTAGACCACGGCCTTGCCCAACACAAGTTATAAATTCGAACCCGCCGTATGGCAAGGAAAGTAGTTGGAGTCAAGAATAAATTAATAACAAGGCTAGTATTGATGCATGAAGAGAGATTATTCCTAAAAATTATGTAGGGAATATTGTTTGCAATTTAGCAGTTACAAACATGGGGAGTTTGCTGGGAAACTTTGAGGTTATGTCCGACAAATTTATCGTGCGTAGAACTTTCTTGAGGTTGTCCATCGTGAGAATTATTAAATATAACTACAACGTTTCGGAAGCTGGTCCCTGCTTCCGTCTTCAGGTACTAGGTAGGAAATAGGACAGAAAGCCTATCTGTTGGGGATCTTCGTTAAGGCTGGGTCAGGTTTGAGTCTACAGCTCGGTGGGAATTATATGTACCACCTATTTTAATAATAAGTACCTGTGAATTCTGTGTCTCGTATGATTTTCGATGTGAACTAGGATTATTTCCGCAAACAACATTTTCAAAGTTGTCTTTGTAGTTGTTAATGGCAATGTTTTTATTTCTGTACGGGCTGGATTTTTAAATTTTATTTAAACCAGCTTTAACTTCAAAGGGCTAATTAAGCTCATGGATACGTCGTCATGGCAAGGTGCATCTTTCCCTCCCATACCTATTAATTATAACCGATGTTTGGAATAAAAAATATTAACAACTTACATTTCTTAAAGTCTGCCATTCAAACATTAGTGCATAACGTGGCTTCATGTTATCTGAAACGTTTTTCGATATTTTAAACATCTAACGCGAACTGGTTCAAGTGATGCGGCCACAGACATTACAGAAATGGCTGTTGGTTTGTTGTGCACGGCCTTCAGATAAGCGCGCACAGCTGCAGCGTTGAACTTGAATTTTTAACTTGTGCACATGCCAATAAATGTATTTTATTAATGGATCGTTAATATAAATTTGTTCAATGTAATAAAAAGAAATAAGCAGAAGAAAATTGGTGTTTGGATACATTTTTTCCCACTGTAATCACAGCATATCATCGTAGGCCCATACGACATTATTTTAAATTTGTTATTTTCAACTTCTTTTTAAAAGTATTTTATTTTTAACTACAATTCTAACCACACCATTTTGTAACATTCATCTCAATTTTAACCTTACTTCAATTTCAATTCTGTTGTGACATTTAGTTGGCGTAACAAAGATTGACCTGAGGACGGTATAATTATACCACAAACAACAGAAGAAGACATCGCTGTATCTTTTCGGACAAAGTGATATGTGAATCGCTGCCTAACTGAACGGTTCCAAATATTTATTGATGTCAACAGTCACCATTTTGAACATTTACTTTAATTTCGCTTTTATTAGTAAATTTTAGATCTTAATGTAGAAAGCCGGGATATTTGACTTTAGTAACTTAAATGGTGACATCTTACTGATGGTTCCTTAGAAGAAATTTCTTATACGTCGTCGAACTTTTCTCGAAATTGGCTGTATCGAAATTCGTAGGGTTTCACTCACAAAAATCAAGGTGACTTTAATAGTTTTAAAACAGCGTGTCTATAAAAATAGCGTTTCTCTTTTTTATGTCCTCTTTGACACCATGTAACGTTTATTTGAAACTTTTTTTCCTGTTTGTTTAAAGAAGCAAGTTATTTGAGGTCATAATTTAGGTGGACCATTCTGTATGTGTTACGTAGACATTTTCTCTGTCGATGGTATACAATCGATCCCGCAACATGCGACCATCGACATTGAAATGTCATAGCTGTACGACATACGAAAGTATGAAAGGAACTTCTCTTAGCTCATTAAGGCATAAAAATGATGGCAAAATTCTCAGAACTCCTTCTGTGTGGCCCAAATTTGATGTATTCAAAATCTGGGTATTCACTTCTCGACGACGCAGCTATCGAAAGAAATCTCGATTGTTCTCACCTTAATCTGATCAGGCCCAAAGCAGTGGGCAGACCAACGCCTGGCTAGGCCGAGCTGGGCTAAGCGAAGCCGAGCGGAATAGAGCTCGGCTTGGAGGAACTAGTGGACGCCATGCTTACAGCCTGCTTTCCGAAAAAATGACCACGTTTGCGCTCCGTCCATGTTTATAATTCGTGTAGTTGATTTAATGCCCAGTTCCATGGAACAGGTAAGTCCAGTTCCTGTGGGATTAAATAACTGTGTCAGATTTTTCGTGAAACTCGTCATTTATATCCTTCTTTTAAATTTTTTCCCCATTTTTGGGTCTAGACGAAACCCAGTAAAAAATCTTTCTTCAGTTACTGATTTATTCTCATTGCAGATGAACAGTGGATCGGCAGAAACTCTCCCTCCCTGGCAAACATCAATTCAAGACCCGATCATCTGATTTTCCAAGGTAATCACGAGTCAAAGTCTTTTTACATTCGAGCGATATGTTGGCTAGGATGACCTACGTGTGCTTCGATTTAAACACCCTAGCGGCAGGCTCTGGTACTGTTCGCATGGACCAACGAGTACACTAAACACGAAAATGTACCCCAAAGGACGATACGCACTAAAGCAAATAGGCAACAAGTGATTAGCGATATGCGATGTATCGGATGTGTGTGAATGCAGTCGATATTATACCGAGCATGCGCAAAGTATGTTTCAAGCTTTTATGGGAACATTCAGTTTTAAGTGAACAGAAATGCAATATTTATACAGACATGGATCCCCCCCCCCTTTTTTAATGTAATTTGCATGAAGTTTGTTTTGTTGTTCTTTCGCAGCCATAATTATTATCTACTGTACACAAAATGGTTTACAGTGGAAGTGAGCCGCTACACACAGACACAAAATGATGGCAAAATTCTCAGAACTCCTTCTGTGTGGCCCAAATTTGATGTATTCAAAATCTGGGTATTCACTTCTCGACGACGCAGCTATCGAAAGAAATCTCGATTGTTCTCACCTTAATCTGATCAGGCCCAAAGCAGTGGGCAGACCAACGCCTGGCTAGGCCGAGCTGGGCTAAGCGAAGCCGAGCGGAATAGAGCTCGGCTTGGAGGAACTAGTGGACGCCATGCTTACAGCCTGCTTTCCGAAAAAATGACCACGTTTGCGCTCCGTCCATGTTTATAATTCGTGTAGTTGATTTAATGCCCAGTTCCATGGAACAGGTAAGTCCAGTTCCTGTGGGATTAAATAACTGTGTCAGATTTTTCGTGAAACTCGTCATTTATATCCTTCTTTTAAATTTTTTCCCCATTTTTGGGTCTAGACGAAACCCAGTAAAAAAATCTTTCTTCAGTTACTGATTTATTCTCATTGCAGATGAACAGTGGATCGGCAGAAACTCTCCCTCCCTGGCAAACATCAATTCAAGACCCGATCATCTGATTTTCCAAGGTAATCACGAGTCAAAGTCTTTTTACATTCGAGCGATATGTTGGCTAGGATGACCTACGTGTGCTTCGATTTAAACACCCTAGCGGCAGGCTCTGGTACTGTTCGCATGGACCAACGAGTACACTAAACACGAAAATGTACCCCAAAGGACGATACGCACTAAAGCAAATAGGCAACAAGTGATTAGCGATATGCGATGTATCGGATGTGTGTGAATGCAGTCGATATTATACCGAGCATGCGCAAAGTATGTTTCAAGCTTTTATGGGAACATTCAGTTTTAAGTGAACAGAAATGCAATATTTATACAGACATGGATCCCCCCCCCCTTTTTTAATGTAATTTGCATGAAGTTTGTTTTGTTGTTCTTTCGCAGCCATAATTATTATCTACTGTACACAAAATGGTTTACAGTGGAAGTGAGCCGCTACACACAGACAC